ATATCTAATTTACAGCAAAAAAAGAAAATGATCTGAATCATCTTTATCTTAGACTTTAAATATTTAACATACTGAAAAACATTTGTTGAAACAAACATATAATCTACAACACTAACTCATATGTATATTCCCTTTAATATCAACATGGCACCTGCCATTTAATAAGTGAACATCAGATATGTAACAAAAGTTAACTAATTCTTTACAAAAAATATTCCCTCTAATACCATCTTTATTTTGACGTGGAATTTCAAAGTTACTACCTTCTATTATCAACATGGCCGAAAATATAATGAAAATCATCGTAAAAATGAAATCTTTAAAATCTCGAGTCCTTTTGTTGAAATCACCGCACAAAAATTAAGTCAACTTCCGGATAATCAAGCTGAATTTTCTTCATACATTCGTAAAACACTATTTTTATCAATTATTATGTCTATAAAACACTTACTTCTCAGGTGGTATGTATGTAAAATATATAATGATATCGTTACAATGGTAAAATGTTAAAAAAAATCAACAGTACAATACAATTCTCATATTCTGAATAAATAAGATGAAATATGCCCTGTTGAAAATTATATTACTCATAAAACACTTACGGCATGTGGTAACATTTCTGACATGATCAAAATGAGTATGTGAGCTTAAAAATATCGTATTAACCCTTACATTTACTCATAATTCCACATACTAGTAAGCAACTGAATCAATTTTGTCATAGTGTTTATTTAATCTGCCGATATTCAACGATAGTATTTTGATATTTACAGTTCCAGGTGAGTGATAATTTGGTTTGCATAGGCCACCCTGTTATTCTATTGTCGAATCAAAAAGAAACTCAGCCTCCGGCGTTTCTCTAGTAGAGGTTATAATATGGGGCAAGTGTGCATTTAGTCCATATTGGCACACTTGGTGACTTATTTGCCCGAGGGCTTTAGCCCCATGTAATGACCTGTTTATTGCATATGCTCCGCAGCAATTTTTCAGACTGGAATAAAATCAAGCAATAACTCAATTGTCCGTGTTCGATTATATTATCTAAATCCATCAAGCGATTCGCTTAAGATTTCAACGTCCTTTCGACGGCCATTTGTTTGCGCTGGGTTGTCAATAACGTAACTTGTATACGCGCGGACGTTCTGCCGTTACCGTACAACAGGGGCGTGATAAACGGAAATAACCTCAATATGGGATTTTGGCACACTTGGCAAGTGCGTCACTATGGCATATTGGCACACTTGCTCAAATTCGGGATTTTCGCATGTCATATTCAGAAAAAAGAAACGCATTTTTATTACTAATTATAGTAACATATGCAGTAAGTTGATGTAATTTGCGTCTCAGGTCAGCTGAAACGTCACGTAGTTGTATTTCACTTCTCTCGGCTTGATTTGTTACCATAGGGCTTGCGTTCCCTGTGATTTCTTGTTCATATTGTAATTGAGCACATATGATAGTTTGGCACGGATGGGACAGAATTATCACATAATCGGTGATTAATGGGCGAACAATTGACGGAAATGAAAACAGAACAATTACGGATAAAATTATATTTTATGCAGAATTTTATATGTAAACATTTCAACTTGGACATAATTTTCAACTTGGACATTTTCACTCTGGGCGTAATTTTTTGCTTAAACATTTTCCGTGCATAGAATTTTACATATAAGGCACCCAAGGCATAAATAGTTTCTTAATTTGCACTTACAGACATTGAAATCTTTAAGATTTTAAACCTACTGTACTTCTTACAGACCTATTTGTGCTAAAAAATGATATTTGACCAAGAAATAAAGTTGATTTTTAGAATTTACAGGTGTATTTTCTTTATGAATTTAGGCCTGTATCTTATGACAAATGCCATACGGATAGAAAAAACTACTTGAGCAGATCTGAAAAAGTCTTAGTCTAAAACTACAAATGTAGTAATTTAATGTGTAAAATATAAAATCATTCAGGTCCAAAATGCTTTAGTTATGTAGTTATTTTTCATACAGTTTATTAAACTGTAATTATGTAGGATTTTAGGACAGTATAATAACTGAAATGATTATGTTTCTTGCTAACATTTCATAAATAGCATGTTAGTAGATCTTTTTTTTATTTCTTGCAAATTAAAATAATGTGAAACAAATTTGAAAAGGTCACAACTCATAGAACAATCTGTCGTTTTCTACTAGTTTTCAAATAATTGTAAAAAGCAAAGTGATTAATTCAAAGAAAACCGGTACCTACAAAAACATGCTGCTAGAAATAGAACTGTGTTATAGTAATGTAGAATGTTCTATTCTGTGTTTAGAGTAAATGTTATGTTTCAAATTTTGTGATATTTGTGAAAATATAATGACTTTTTTATGCGATACATTATGTTTTTGTCGAGAAATATGTGAATATCATGGTTAACCCGTTAAAATTCCTCTCTAAAAATTCTGCCCTCGATTCAGCTTAAGAATTCCATCCGGACTTTGTTTCCATCCATTTTTAATTGTTGTAATATATGGGGGAAAGAGAACAAAAAATATATAAATGCCAAATATACAAAATACAAACACGAATTTGCAAAATTATTCTAGACCCTCCAATGAGAACACGATCAGAAAATTTATACAAAAGATTAAAAATATTGCCTTTCAAGAAAAGATATATTTTTCACACCGGTGTCCAAGTATATAAAGCACTGAATAATATGTCCCCTCAATATATCCGAGACTTACTTACCATATCAAATAATCAAAAGTATAATCTAAGATCGATATCTCACGGAAATTTAATTTCGTCTTACAAACCACGTACTAATTATTTTTATGACGCATTCCAATTTAATGCCATGGTTATTTGGAATTCCATACCACTGACTATAAGAAGAAAAACAAAACTGTCAATATTTAAGAATAGTTTCAAGAAATACTTATTTAATCAACTTTAGCACGGTCCATGTGTATTATATATACAAGATACGCTCTTTATATTCATACATGTGTTTTTTTATTATTATGTTTTCTAATAATGGGTGCCTTAGCCAAAGCTTAGTTTCAAGTTTTTTTGACTGTGTTAATTTTGTTAATTTGGTAAGTTAATTTTACTTTTTAAATTGCAGATTAAAATGATGCACTGATGAAAGTTTTATGTTTAATGATAAATAAAATGAATTGTATGAATGTTCAGTATATGTGTTAAGATATATGTTAAAATTGTGATAACCATTTAATCATTTCTTTTACATGATATATTTTCTTTGATTGATATCTGTTCCTTTGGGTGTTTGTTTTTATTTTTATTTTTTATTTTAGAAGGCTGCATTGTAAATCATCGTCGGATACCCACGATTGATAAACATGTCACATAACATGCAATCAGCCGTGGGTAAAATGAATCGATTTGCGTCGATATACAGCAACAGGTGCGTAAAATATCTACCAATGACATCGCGTTTAACAAATCTATATTCTTCAACAGCGGAGGTAAAAAACATAAGAAACAAAATGGCAGCGCCCACGGTTAAAAACTGTTGTACGTGTCTTGCTAAAATCAATGGCAAAAACTATCGCCAAATCAGTTCTTCTGCAAGCAGATATCAATCAGAAAGGAAAACATCACGCTGTAAAAGTAAATAATCTATACTTTCTACTGGAAATCGTTTAATTTTTCGATGTTGAACCTTTCACGTCGTCTATGGTTGTCGCAATATTGTCTGTAATACCGAACGTCGTACAGAACGAGCGTTTTGATTGGTTTTAATCGCCTCATGAAATCGTGAGGCAGCCAATGAAATAGCTGCCTTTGACACACCTCTAATCGACTGAATATCGGCAAAAAATTCCCACGGCTATCCGACGATGTTGTTAATAAGATGTTGCAATCTGTATATGTCTTAATGTGTTACCTTCGGTAAATAAAGTAATTATTATTATTATTATTATCATAATAAGGATTCCGATCCAAAATTTCAAACTCATTTGCATGTTTCGTCCCAATTCCGCCCTTTTTCCACCTGGATTCCACCCAGATTCCGTGCTAAAAGTAAATGTTTTATCACTTGTATAGTTGGAAAGGAATTTAAATTTCTAGGCAGAATTTGATCATTCCACTCCATTTTCGAACAGGCGTGTTTGTATACCTCGCTGTCTGTTGCCAACAAAAACAATACATATGTTATGATTTATCCTTAATCTATATATATATATATATAAAAGGAGTCATTATCATATAGTTTGTCGTATCGAAGTACGCGCATATTGGCCTTTTTGCATCAATAATTTGTCTGTGACATTTAATTCTGTCACTTTAATATAGTACTGATTGATCACGTGTACTTTTATACACACTATTGACTCTGTAAATAATTGTGTGTGTATATATACATCCTTAAGTGTACAAATGTATCATTTCATTTTCATTGCGAGTCACAATTATAGCATAATTTGCTTATTTTGAGTCAAGTTATGGTCTTAATCTTTCTATTGCATTCATATTAGGTTTCATTATTGTAATTCGTTGTTATGTTCTATTCTAATCACTGTTTTTCCCAATGTGGTTAGTGATCCACTGTGTCACTTTTCTGGCAGATTAAGCTGATATTTTGTCTGACAAGCGCGATTTTATAAATACTTTGGACGGACAGAAATCAATTATATTCCAATTTTGACGTGCATATTAAGAACCCATTTAAAGACAAGTAAAACTGAAAAGAATCTGACAGCTGTGATTCAACAATCAAACTTGGCAGGATGTAAGAATGAAAACAAACCACAAAAAGTGCGCAAATTATATGAAAAATATTTTCGAAAGGTTTAAATGATATGAAGTTGACAGCTTTCATTTTGTCAGTATCCTCCTTAAAATAGAGTACAATAACTGCCAGTTTACGCTTTGAAAAGGATAGATTTGTGCATAAGAGTAATATGATTTTTCTGAAACAAATTGATGAATACATATTTAGTATAATAATTCTTCAAAATATTAAATATATGGTCTGTTGAAGACCTATATGTCATTTATTTATCTTCAAACATATGAATGAAACGCTCGGTCGTATACTTTTTCATGACATAGAAAATATGCTCGTTTTCAGAATGATGAGCATATATTTCTTCTTCTGCTATCCGTGATCCATACATATGCAGAATACCTCCACCAGTAGGCACATTTCGATTGCCCTCATTAGGCACAATACCACTTGAAGAGGCCTGTAGTTTTGGGTAATGAGCAAGTGCTCTACGTTCTGCCGTTTCCTCAAGTTTGCTATCAGGAGCTCCACGTTCTCTATCCTTATATGGAACCATTTCATTGGAAGATATGTGTTGTTCTGAGTCATGATATGCTCTTTTCTTTACCCCGGTTTTGCCCCTTACCCGGCCATGAGAAGCAACACGTCCATCACCCTTATGTGAAACTAATGTACTAGAAGATGCACATGGTCTTGAGTCATTCAGTTCCGTCTTTTGTGCCCTAACTCTGCCACCAACTTCACCATAAGGAGCAACGCGTACTTCAGTTACAGTCGGAAGGATATCACTGGATGGTCTCTGCTGTACCACAACCCTGTTACCAATTTCGCCATGGGAAGGATCATGTCTACCATCTTTACACGAAACCATGCCGTCTGAAAATTTGTTTTGTTGTGAATAATGAATATCTGATCTCGCTGTAACCTTTGCTTTTGCTACGGCACCAACTTTGTTTGACCGATAACGATTGTAGGTCAGTCGGTGAAGTTTATTGGTCAGACGTTTACCACCATCCATCCCAGATGCACGTGCGGGAGGGACGACATGTGTTACATGATCTGAAAAAATAGCTTCAATAAAAGAATCTGCGAATTTATTTGTAGTTAAAAAGCTGTACATTTGACAGTTGGTTGTTGAGGGTTTTATGAATCAAAGGCGCAAAAACTTTCAGGAATTGTGTAACATATTTTTGCAGAATGTACATTGTACTTCGGTAATTATCTTTATTTGCAGTATTTCTTAATTCAAAAAGACACTTGTATTGGAATACATTTAAAACAACTAGATTTTGATAGATTCAGTCTATTAATAAGGCAATACAATTAATTGATTGCGTGTATATGGGCTTTATTTCAAAATAAATTAAGACATTTTTCAGAAATATATGGAAATTTGGAGTTTTTTTTATCAGTGTAACGGAACTTATTTATTCACATCAAATTTAATCAATAAATGTATAAAATCATAAATCGGCTACCTATTTGTTACACATATTAGGTGTCTGTGCCAGGGGGTATGGACCCTACCTTACAATTTCAATCAAACCAAATCCCTCAACATTTTGAATTTTGTCGTGTTGGGCTTTCTGAGATTTTGTTTTTTCTTTTCATGATCCATATATTTTGAAAAATCAACCAACACTTTACGCGGAATGAATTTGATCAGCATTAAAACTAAACAGCACAAACTGTTGTGTGACTAATTAGTTAAAATGGTTTCATTTAAGCTTACATTTATAACGTGGCATAATTATTTCTAATATAATACACGCATATATTTTGTGTTCATTTTGTGCCTAACTCGTTATGTAACCAGTTTATTATTGTAATAACATAACTATTCCTTAAATTTATATGGTTAACGCGAAAAGCTACATGTTGTTAATTGCTTACTTTCTTACTACATACTATTTGATAGTTGTCTATGGACAAACGTCATTACGGAAACAAAGATGTTGAAAAATAATCAAGCATTATAATTTACACGGCGTTATCGTCATATGTGTCGTGATATAATACATTCATTTTAATGTATATCCTTTTTTGACTATATAAGTAAAAAATAACGAAAAAGTTGATTTTGTCAAAAAAATACATGTTAACAAACAATATTTAAACCGGCACATTACATTACATTGTGTACACATGACACATTTATTCTAACACCTACCTTCTTGACATTTCTTGACAGCCTTCTTTACAGAATAACATATAGTCGCAGTCGATATGACAAACAAGAACAGGCAGACGGGAGTGAGGCAGAGAATTAGAGACCAGCCAAGCTCAGATGTGGAATAATTTTCGGCAATGAGCAAACATCCGATGAAACTGAACAAACCTTAAATGTATTTTAGAAAGTATATAGAAAATAAATGGACATGAATAAAATAATCATCTGAAAGAAACGCACGGCGGATAAACGATATCACTTTCTTGCAAGCCTAAAAGATGAAAGTGACATTACGTTCATTGTTTCATTGTCATAAGAGGCTGAATCGGTTCTATATTTCTGTAGATTTACTGTTATAACAGTTGATATTAAAAATTATACATTAAATGTAAATCTGAGTAAATATAAGAAAGTCTCTTTTTTTAGCGTTACAGGTTAATTCCGATGGATATTTACATTAATTTCATTGAGACACGTGAAAAATTATATTGTTCATGCGAAGTATATCATAAACTTGACAGGAATTATGGCAATATGTTGGCTATTTTATGAAAATAAGTCAACACTTTTGATTACCTGCCACAGGGAACATAATCAAGCAGCACCACCCAATATAACCACAACACCCCATATCGTCATATCCTTTTTTAGAAAACGTGTTAACGCAAGTTCCAAATACAGCCAAGAACATCATAACAAAGGAGAATACTTCAAGTCCGAGCGCTCGTGCATCTAATTCTGAAAAGATTTAATGAAACAGGCATCATCATTATGTCCTCTTGTTAGTCTGTGTTTCGCTAGATAAAGTCATTTTAAAATATAAACCTTTAGGTTGTTTTTTCTCTATCAAAGATAGCGTATAATTGCTGGATTTTTGTTCGGTAAGGGGACAAATCGCCTGCTTATGTCGACATTTGTTCTTGCATGGGGAACAAGTAATACTAGTCAAAACTCATGCGCACAAAAATATAGTTAAGAGCCATTTCATTATTCAAAAAATTGCAAAACAAAAAAAAAAAAAATGTTGGAAGCAAATCTTTATAACATATTTTTATGTCCTTACATAAAAAATTACGCTACATCAATTATATCTTATTATCACACACCCGTGCCGATTTTGCGACTCCGTAAATATGGTATTGCACGGCCGTGCATATATTTTGACGTGACGTCATTAGCGTTATACAAACATAGTGTAAAGACGCGTTAAATGTTAACGTTATACTATAGGCGCGTCAATGAAAAATGACTTTTATTTCACTTTAACGGTCTTTATTTTGGGTATGTGATAAATAGAATATTAAATTCGTGTAAGTTCATTACTGAATTTATTGCACTCGTTGAATAAAATAATATTATGCTCGCCAGAGGCTCGCATAATATAACATTATTCAACTCATGCAATAAATTCAGTATTAAACTTACACTCATTCAATATCCTCTATTTCTAGGACGTTTGAATCATATGTCTATTGCTTAACTAATAAGTATTGCTACTGATATGCATAGTAGAGATGCGTGACATGTAGAATAGAAACACACTGTAATATCATAGACCTATATTCGCCCCCTCCGGAGTTTAAATTACGACAACGTCAAAGTTACATTCATTGCATTTAACTTTTAATGAATTTTCAGATTGAGAAAAGATGAACATAAAATAGATTCTTTGTTTATGCGTAGTGTTACGAGCCAGGCGTAACTAGAAAGAAAAGCCAGCAACAAACTTGTAACAATAACAAATTTATTACAGAAAAATTATTAAAGAAAAATAAAATAACAAATTATGTTAACAAATACCTGAAGTCCAAATGAAAATGAAAAATTACAAATGTCTAGTCTGATCCTGGAATGATCCTTTTTAATAGCACAGTTAAATCCAAGTTAAATCCAAGAACACTTTAGAATAAATTCCCACAATAAAATCCACAAGAATAATTTATTTTAAAATCCAAGCTCCAATAATTCACTTAATATCCAAGTTGAATAATACTCCAAATATATTGATTTCTTAAAAGGTAACTGATGACTTAATAGATCACTGATGACTTAAAAGGTAACTGATGACTTAAAGAGGTAAAGGTAATGAAAAATGTCAATCTATATATATTAACTAAGAAGTTTCTAGAATAGTCTTCCATTTACTACAGTAATCATAATCTAGCAACTTCACCAATAAAGATCATTCCAGAAGTTTCTATCTAAATATAATGCATGAGTTTTCTACAATAGTTAAGAACCTTCTAGTACATACATGTAGTTTATGTTCTAAAAATAGAACAATGATAATATTGGAAAAACCAACTGGTCAGATACAAACTATATACATGTAATATGTTGCATACATAACAGTAGAAAGCACCATTTTCCGAAACAATCGCACATGGCGCTAATGAAAAACTGGCCGCATCTCGTTCAGCAATTCATTCTTCTTAATCAATTCTAAATATTTTAGCTGAAAAAAACATCATTTTGTAGAGCTCAAAGTGACAAACTTATTGATATGTTTGACTTGCTGATTCACGATGTGACTGTAAGAATTTGGAGGGTTATTACATCTCGTTAAACTCTTGCGCTTGCCACTAGTAAAAAACCTGTCCATCGGTAGCATGTGCGCTTGCCGATGCAGCGATTTTTTTCATTTTATATATCAACATCTCAAGTTTCGTTATAGGTACATGTAATATATATTCAGGTGAGTGATGTTGTTGGTAAGCCGGAGTATTGGCTTAAAGGCTATATAAGTAATTATTGTTTAACGAAACAAATGCGGCCAGGATTATAGGTGTACGTCGCTGCAGTCATTTGTTCTTTTTGAATATAAAATCACTCATGTAAAAGATACCATTTGCCCGAGCCCATTGTGACCTACCCATCCGTCGGACTTTATTACGAATTGGATGTTGCAATAGTTTTGGTCTGATTTACGTAATGGCTATCCGCAATATACATGCATGATATACAGTGCTTCACTAGTGTATGAATACTAGGTAATTTTATAATTTAACTTCTCAAATCTATGTTGAGCTATCCGTTTTTAAGTTTTGATGCAGATTAGCTAGTTCAGTAGCTTTGTCAATTCTGTTAACGATAAAAGTATGTTTGTATAAGCACCTGGTGCTTACATAAAACGGGATAACTGGATGAAATTAGCTTCAGACGTTGTGGCGCTTATTTTTTCTGTATATAAATTGAAATAGCACAATTCCTTGCATCGGTTTTTTCTTTCATTAATCAGATTCGATAGCTTGGATAATCTTCTTTATATTAATATCGCGCTAGCCCGAGAACCCTGGCTCTCACGATTTACCAACATAGCATACTTATTTGTTTTATCACCAGGAGTCCACTACGATGCGGAACCTCAAATAGTAGAACAGAACAGAACAGAATTTTATTTACAGACTTATACATAGGTACATCGTCTTGTTTAACAAAAGATTTGATTAAACATAGTCACATGGCATACGAAAACATACAAATTATAAACATTCTTAAATAAATAAACAATGATTAAAGAGGACAAACTTTATGCAAGATGATAATTACAAATCAGTTTTGTTGAGAGTTAATGATTGCGTTTCTCAACGATAAAGATTCATGGATATATTTAGATAACTTAATTAAAATACTTTTATTTTGCGTTGAAAGTAGATCTATAAATTTAAACACAGATGGTCTAACATAATAACATTTTTTAAGATACTGCATTCGAAAACTATTAAAACAAGGGCATACACATATAAAATGGTATTCATCTTCTATGTCAAATGTATTACAACATAAACAATATCGTTGATCACGAGGTGTATTATTCCTATTGTATCTCCCAGTCTGTATTCTTAAAGGATGTACAGATAATCTTAATCTACAAAAATAATATCTATATTTACGAGGCAGAATATCAAGATAACTTTCATAACTAAAATTAAGCTTAAAATTCTTGTAATTAAACAAAACTGGGCTACGTTCTAACGTAGCTGTCCATTCTTGAATAAAAGTGTCTATAACTCTGCGTTTAAAAATGATAGGGAACACTTTTGCATCAACGCAATTTTCATTAAAAATTTCAGCAAAACCATAATTACAGAGTAGTTTTTTAACATTTGAAACCCAATTGCGGTGTCCTTTATTACAATCCAATAAACCATCTTCATACATAGTTTTTAAAACAATATTATCAGTGTTTTTCAACTTACACCAAAACTTGACAATTCTAACGTAACGAGTCACATACAGCGGATAACGCCCCAACTCACCATAAACTGCAGCAGAACAAGTATTTGCTCTAACATTAAGCAAACGTTTACAAAATTTTAAGTGGATTCTTTCCAATTCTTTAGATTTCGTGTATCCCCAAATTTCAGACCCGTATCCTAAAATAGACCCAATGAAAGCATCAAATAATTGACATAATATTTTAGGTTTGAGATCAAACTTTTTACAATTATAAAACAAAACATTAAGAGCTTTTAAAGCTTTCCCTACCAAGTGTTCTTGGTTAAGCGAAAAATTACCTGTATAATTAAAAACAGTACCTAAATAATTAAAATCATTCACAACTTCTAAAATTTGGCCATCATAGGTCCAGTTCTCATTTTGTAATAACCCCCCTCGTTTTCGAAAAACCATTACTTTTGTTTTGCTTGTATTTACTTTTAATCCCCATGTAGAGCAATATGAATGTAAAAAGATCCAAATGGTTTTGCAGTTCCAATGGTGACTTGCCTAAGATGGCCATATCGTCAGCAAATAACAATAAAATCAAAATAACATCATCAAATGACAGTCCTGATTCTTGACCAGTTTGCAAATATAGCTCTAAATCCTCTACAAAGAGAGAGAATAAAATTGGTGAAATTACCTCCCCTTGACGTAATCCAATAGCATAATAAAAATAATCAGAATAATTCGAACAAGATTTGACACAAGATTTAACTTTTTGATACATGTCTCTTATAATTCGCAGCAATTTACCTTTTATTCCTAATTTATACATTTTCAGCCATAATGCATTTCTATATATACTGTCAAAACATTTCATCATATCGACAAAAAACAACATATAAACGTTTATTTTCATTAACAAATTTTTGAATTAATGACATAAGAACAAAAATTGCATCGGTAGTAGAACGCCCTTTACGGAAACCAAATTGTGCATCTGATATGATATTGTTACTTTCACAAAAGGATTCTATTCTAACATTAAGTACAGTGGTAAATAATTTTGACAAACAACTAACTAATGTTATGCCTCTATAGTTATTGACGTCATCAGTACGCCCCTTCTTATGAAGAGGGATAATAATTCCCTCTGTCCATTGTTCTGGATAAAAACCAGAGTTTAACACAACATTAAATATATCACATATATGGGCACCTAAAATATCGATGCTTTCTATGAAGTATTCATTCATTAAACAATCGCTACCTAATGATTTTCCACGTTTTAACATTTTTACGGCATTTTGAACTTCATTTAAAGTAATTGGTTTATCTAACTCATCATACTCAGTATTTATCTCATTAAAAGAATAATCTTCACAAAAATTTTCAGCCTCAATATTGTTACAATTTGATATATCATTACTTAACTTAGCAAAATATTCTTTAAATATATCTATTGGAATATTGCTATTGTCTGCAGACGACTTATTTTTAAAATATTTCCAAAACTGCTTCGGTTTACTTTTTTTTAAATTCTCTATATCGGACATCTTTTTACAATAATATATTCTTTTCTTTTTACGAATAATACTTTTATATTCCGTTTTATATTTACACAGATTTATTCTATTGATATCATTATTATTTCTATTAAAAACCCTTAAAGCATCTAAATACAAAGTTCTAGCATTGATACATTCTCTATCAAACCAGTCAGAGTTATCTATACACGAGCTATCACTAAAATAGACGTCATTGTTAAAAGTACGACATTTACTAAATAATGGATCTGCTACATTGCGTAACACAGATGTAAAACTATTTAAAACACTATTTACACAGTCACGGTTGGACAAATCAATATTATCAATAATTCTGTTAAACTCAGGCAATTTTGCAATAAGACCACTGCGAAATTCATTTCTACGGTCACTATTCCATTTAAACATAATTTCTTGACTTTTTTCGCACTTTTTTGAATACTTTTTACAAGATATTGAAAAAACATAAAGGTGTATGGTCACTCCATTCATTTGTAGACTGAATGGTAAAATTTTGTATGGATGAAAAGTTACGCTCACTGGTTAATAAATAATCAATCACCGATGCGCCTCTGGGTGAGACGTACGTATATTTACATGTCTCGCCAATTCTACCGTTAACTATTCGTAGACATGAAGATTTGCATAGATCAAGGAGTTTCATACCTTGACTGTTACTAATTTTGTCTACAGAGGCCCGGAAAAGGTGTTCATCAGGAATATAGTCATAATCGTCTGTATATGAATTTAAACAATCGTGTGTAATAAAATCATGCTTATTACCAACTCTGCTATTATAATCGCCTACAATATATATCGAACCTTGCTGACTGAAGACGGAAATATCATTTTCTAAAAGTTCAAATAAATCAGTATTAAAAACATTATATGCAGGTGAATCCTCACACCATATATATACACCGCAAATATATATATCATTATCAATGTGGAAAAAATTATGATCTAGCTTTAACCATATAATAGTATCAAAATGATTTTTTACAATTTCAATGCCATCATTTAAACAGGTTCTATAGTATAAAACAATACCACCACTGTTACGTTTTGCACTACGGTGCCTAAATTTTCTATAAAAATTATGAGAAGTGTAACCATTAAGCAGAACATTACTAGAAGAACATGTCCAGGATTTATATAAAAAACATATATCATTATTCGAGAGAATATTTAAAAAGTTAAAACTGTCTATTTTGTCACTTGTTAGGCCATTAACATTCCATGACAGAATTTTCAGTCCATCCTCTGCGTAATCCTATCCTTTAACTGGCTTCCCGTTCACGTAAAGAGTGTCATATGCTATCCAGGCTGTATCCCCTTTTTGTCGGTGTTCTTTCAATTTTGGAACAAGTTGTCTGCGTTTTTCTATGATTTCTTTCGGAAATTGTTCAAACATACGAAATTTGCTTCCCTCTAACTGTTTCCATTGTTTACGTACAAATTCTCTGTCTTTAAATAATACAAACTTTGCTACAATGTTCCTCGGATGATCACGTCTTCTCTCCCCAATCCTATGCACACGTTCGAACCTCATATTTAATACAATATCACTGGCAATTTTAAGTTTGTTCTCCAGGTGACTTCTCAATATATCTTCAGTGCTCTTGGAATCTTCCTGTGAAATTTCATCGACATTTGTAAAAATGAGATTATTCCTCATAGATTGTGAAGTGAGGTAAACGACGTCATCTTTCAAAGAATCTCTCTCCTTTTCATACTGTATAACTTTACTAGAAAGCTCCGCTACATTAAAGTCAACACATTCAATTTTCTCTTCAACACCCGTAACTCTAATATCTAATGATTTATTTCTCTCCTCCATCGCTACCCATATTTTCTTCAACTCCATATCGAACCTATCGACTTTCTTCTCCAACCCGTCTACTTTCTTTTCAAGTACAGTTAAAGAATCCAGACGTTTTTCAACATTGCCTATTCTTCCATTGATCTTTTCTAAATAAGCCAATATGTCGGCGTTAGTCGGGTCTCTCTTTTCTCTACCCTCAGACATATTGTTATTTTCTTCGTTACCAGATTTATAAAAAACAATATCTATGTCAGATTGATCACCTTTTCCGTATAATACATTGTTAGTTTCGTTTAAAATGTCACTTACTACTAATGATTCTGACTCCTCTGACGGGCCTCTTGGCTTAAATAGTTTATTTCCATTATCTTGATCACCACTTTTATCACTACTTTGCCTACTTTTCCGTTTATTTCCCATAAGTTATATATAAAAAACACTATATTCCATCATTTAATTCCAAAGTACTAATTTTATATTCACAAATAAATGTGTAATCCTTGTTTTTCTATAATTTTAAAGACCGCTCAAAAAAACACAACCGCCATTATACCACGTGACTATAACATTCAAATAGTACACCTGGAACTGCCTTTCTTCTATCTAAAGACTTAGCAAATTGTTATCTTTAGCCCTCAATAGCGGCATTTAGCGGTTACTTGGACTTCTGAATAATAATAAACCATTGATAACAGTCACACCTTGAAAGAGTCAGTTGGTAGAATCGCTGCACCTCGAGATAGACATAGCTACCGCTATTATTTTTGAAGATATAACAAAATGTCCATAGTGACCGAGAGAATAATGAGAGACAGACGGTTAATGACTCAGTTATTGTCTCGTCATCTCAGTTGTGTATTATGATAATCGACCCATTTCAATATGCTATGTTTAGAATTATAAATATGTATTTATGTAATATTTTTTATTTATTTATCGCGTTTGGTCTAATACATTTTTCCTCTCGTGAAATTACAAACTACTGCTGCCAGATATAAGGTTATTAACGTTTTGTCATGCATATAACCAAAACGAATAAAAAATTATTTCTAATAGGTGTCTGCACATTGCAGCAAACTTTATAGAGTTATTATTTATTTGTAAAATAAAGAAAACAAATGAGCTAAAGATGAATTCAGCACTTGAATTTTGTCTGATACCGTATAAGCAAAATTTAAAGTATTTATTGAATTAATATTTTTATATAATACAACTCTCTTAGTTTGAATGTACATATAGTATATTTATTATGTTTAATCATTCAGTCTGTTGAATGTATTCAATACTTTTAGTTTTAAAATTTTATTGATTAATCTCCATAATGTAATTTTGAAACAAATGCTTGGTATGCGGGAATTCATAATTTTTTTCATATAATTATTTACCTTTGTTGTAAATTTGTCAAATATTCATGTACATTTTTGTATCTGTCAAATAGCCCGATGTTCAAAATTTTGAAAGGGCATTTCGCGCATTTGTTTCAACATATTACACATTATATTATTATGGTTGAAAGTAGCGGTCTTAAGACGACAACAGCAGAACCGTTCGATCAAGAGGCATACGTTTCTGTCTTTAATATTACCAATAATAGTATGTGTTTCTTTTTTATAATGTACTGATTCAATCACGCACTACTTAGTCCGAAAGTGGCGAAACGAATAGAAATGTATCTGTACAGTATTTCTATGTGGCAGTGACTGTTCACTTTAAAAGGCAAAAACACTACAAAACAGTCGCATGCACTACAACCGAGCACTATATAGTATGTTAGATTAAAAATATAGTATGCTAGATAAAAACGATTTTACAACATTTATTTCCCTTCTTTTTGCTTATGATAAAATTCACCTAAATGGTACTGTACCTTTAGTAGTTAACTGGGTCGACAATCGCATTACCTTTGTCCTTTAACATTGTAGTATAATTGACTTCATGCGCTTTTAGAAAGGTTATTCAAGACTGGTCTTTGAATAAAAAAAATCTCGCGTCACAGGTTTTATATAGCCTTGGACCGTGACGCATTGGATATTTTTTTTATTAAAGTCAAACCGGATAACGAATGACGTCAAACTCCCATTTTGAATTTGAAAGTTAAGCACTAAAATTGAACCTGTTTGCATTTCTTATTGAACGACACCATTTGATTTTGGATAAGCGTCGCACGCAAATTAAGGCCTTTATTTGATATTTTGCATTTGGTATGGAACATGAACATAGAATGCCTTTAATGATGACCCAGTGAACTTTGTTAAGATAAAGTTAATGGGACTGGGTGGAGAGCTTTGCACTTTTAAGTTGTGTCATAATTCCAGAATGTGCATATAATGTGAAAGAAACAAATGAATAAAGAACCTTATAACTGCTTTACCAATGTAGCGGGTAAAGATGCACATACAAGTTTAAGGGATAGGATATCAAGTCAGAAATCATATTTACCGTCAACGCCCTTTGTGTTTTTGCACGTGTCATTGTTGTCCCCAGAACAGCAACTATATAGCAGACCTATGCTTCTGCAGTCTGAGGTTAAGATCCAGTATGGTGAGAACAGACCAATAGTCTGCAAGATAAATGGCGGGAAAAGGAAACACACCAAGAAGATCATTTCGCCGGTGGAACTCATTTCTTGTCACCAAGGCAGCAAGTCTAAAGAGCATAATATACCATAAAAGGAATTCAAAATTTAGACTATAAAATGCTTGCAATACTTAATGTGTCAAACCCTAACTTAGATAGATGTCAAGTTTTAATCATTTCCTAGAAATAATATATCATTAGAAAACTTTTCAGTATGATTTCCTCTGTGAAAAAAGGCGTAATATGTAATTTTATGTTGTATATATTAGTGTCAACGTATAAAATTCACTAAATTATATCAAGCCAATTTGTTTTTATATACAGCTACTGTGTCTAAATAAAGACTCAACGTGTTTTAATATAGATACAATTTGTCTTTATATACGGCAAATATGTCTTAATATAGAGAGAATGTGTCTTTATATAGGGCAAATATATCTTGATATAGAGCTATATTTCTTTTTATAGGGCAAATATCTCTGTTGTCCTCATATTGAGTGAACGTGTTTTTATATAGTCAGACTATATTTGCATAGTTGTCTTGTGTTTTTCTAAAGAGTCAATGTGTCAATATTCTTTATTCTAACACGACCCACACTTTTTCCTATTGAACATAGAAGAACCGAACCTGTGTGTTATTATGCATCAAAGTCACTGTTGACGTTCTACATTTAGACATATGACGTAATCAATATAAATGTGACTTAACCACAAAAAAAATGCGACGCGCTGAAATTAAGTACGGTAACAAATCAGGAACAATTTAGCATAATATCAGTTACGGCAGCATTTATTTGTTGATGTCGTGTTAGAATCGAATAATGTATTCAAATCTGTGATTTTATCGCTTGATAACATCACTGATTGTCGTCCGGTGCGCATCATTATATCACTCGGGCTACGCCCTCGTGATATAACTCCTCGCATCCAAATTCCAAACAGTGATGTTATTGAGCATGTTTAGGATATATTATTTCTTAAATATAGTGTTAACTTATCTTAATATAGAGGCAACGTTTTCGTTTCTCAAACGTGCTGACACGACTTAATCTTTATACATATTGAAAATATTGTTCATGAGCATTTTGCGATATACAAAGAGTACATTTTACACAGCAGTAATTTTTTTATAATTTATAAAGTCCAGCAAAAATGTATACCCTTATTTAAGATACTAGGAATCAATATAATTCGATACACACTGCTTTAAATATAGATACAAATATATAGGAGTGACAAAAATGAATGAATGAATGAATAAATGAATGAATGAATGAATGAATGAATGAATGAATGAATGAATAAATAAATTGAATTGGTTCAGTAAATAATTCATTCATTCATTATTCGTTAATTAAATTAAAAAAATGAAAGAATAGTAGATTAATGAAAAGTAAATATAAATTGAAATAAAATAATGCATTTAATGTTTTTAAGACATACCTATTCGGAATCCAAAAATTGTAACGCTATATTTTACATTGAGTAAAAGAAAAAGTTATTCAAAGTCTTTGATCCTCGAAGTAATCTGATCTATTTCATTCAATCAATATTAAAGCAGAGATATGTATTATATTTCTATAACCTTTATTTCCTTACAATGAAATTTGCTGACGATATATTTTACTTGATACAGTTTGCTCCACCTACTATCGCTACCACTGTTTGGTATTTTGACATGACAGGACAGTTAAGTAAAGGAATAGTGGTGTTGGACATTACTGAAATCAATGAAAAAGAGGTTATTACGTTCAGATAAACCCGCTACCGCTTGCTGTGCCTCAAATTAATTAAGCTTTTACTTAATATGTTATGTTGAAAAAATCATAAATTTGCTTATCTGAAGGATATTGAAATCCAATTTGTGGAGTACTTCAAAGAAACGGTAGGAGAGATGCGTAGATGCGTGATACACTTTCGTTATTGTTAAAAGATAGTTAAATGATAGTTAGTCTATTCCTTAGCAAAAATATTATATGATATGACGGCTACTAAATTACTTCCAATATAATGTAGTACTTAATAAATTATGTCAATGAATGAGTAGTATTCATCGAAACTACAATAAAGAGGATTTCAAGTTTTTTTATAGATACTGAATTTATTTTCATCGAGTGGTATGTAAATAAATATTTCATAAGTTGCGGTGACAACAGGTGAAATATGATAATTTTCATTCCACATTTATTCCACAAAAAGAAAATAATTAAAAAACTTACTTTTTCTGTTTATGTTATGCTTTTCATTATTTTACCTTACAATTTGAAATACTTCCCCTTGGATTTTGTGTATTTATTGGAAAGTACGGAAAATTTCACAGCAGTAACAAATAAATTATTACTGTGAAAATAAAGAAAAAATGCAAATACGTATTTTATTTCATTAAAATTTCTCAACATTTAAACTAAAAGTACAAATATTAAATAAACAGTGTGATTCTTTATCTCACTATTGCTGATTAAAACATAAATTTGAAATTACAGATAAATTACGAAAGACCAGTGGGGACATTTCAACTCCATGGATTTCTGAATTAACTATTTTATGTTCCTGAATTCACGTTTTCAACATACGGAATTAACGAATTTACATTTTCAACTTCATGAATTTCAACTTAAGTTTATGATTTCACAATTTCGACTTCATAAATTAAACGTTGCGAATTCAAGTTTTGAACTTCACGATTTGATCTTTAATAATTTTAAACGATTTGATTGCTTATAATTACTCTTTCAACTTCTTGATTCAATGTGAATTTTTGAAGTTGAAATCGTTGAAATCGTGAATTATGAAGTTGTAATTTTAAGTTCATCATGTTTGAATCGTGAATTTATGATATTTATCGTACGCTATCCGGTCGTTTACCTTAAGAATATCGAACGGGTCAAGGAAGAAGTAGAAAACTGATGTCAAAGGTTTTCGCACCAGGTGACCGGGCGAGTACCCTACGGGTCTCATCTGAATACCTGCTGGACCACAGAGGGTGAATAACCACCCCATTCTTCCTTGACATGATTGAAAAGTTTCTCTCCGATCTCAAATTATCAATGGTATTCCAATGATCCCTCTATCCCGAACGACCCGCACTTGTAAAGTGACGTATGCTTAAGGGTGTTGTTGCTAGCAAAGCCAAACGCCGTTCAAGCCGTTGTTTTCTTTCGTAAGACAAGCTCACGTACCCCAGTACCGTTTTCGTCGTGTCTGGCTACTTTGTAGGACCACTCACCTCAGATTCAGTAAAGTCATCGGCGGCCGGTCCACAGGACTATGTATGTTCAAGGTAACAAAAATGTCGATCATTTTGAAGTAAGATCTTTAGAGTTGAATATGTTTTGTCCTTAGCGTGAGTCCATGAGAATTCAGGATTGAAAATAAAACCCATATACTTGTTAAAAGATGTTATATGTAAGATTTTGCCTCGAAAGTATCATTCCTCATAATTCATAATAAGTTTATGTCATACACTAGTTTATTGTAATAATCATAGTATCCAATAGAAGGAATGCTATTACATATCATATTATTAAATGGATTGTTTCCAAAAAGTAGTGGCATCGAGGTTGTTAACTAAGTTATATCTACTTTTACGTTGATATTCGAATCTCTTTTTATCATAGCATATTTAAAATTTATAACAACTAATTTTATATAATCTTAAATCATTTTGCGTATTTGTGTTACGAAAATGACGAAACAATTGATACTATTGTTTATCCAATTTATCCATCATCCAACCATGGAGGTTAATTAGAACTGAATTTGAACTTCATTCTCATACATTCGCCAGTTTCATAATCAATCTGAGTCAATAATGTATGTACTTATCAGTAGCCTCATTTAGCATTTGTGTTACAATACTAATTTCCCTTGTAAAGGTTGGTAAATTATTCGCTAAAACTTCATTGTCAGAAGTAATTTTCCAGCGAAAGGCTATCGTATTTGCACATGTGTTTGTTTGATACTTAAAAGGTGTTCTTATCCTAAAATCTAATTCACAGCATAAAAGAAAATGATTTGAAGCCTTTAAAATAATTAGCATACTGAAAAACATTTTTGAAGCAAATATGTCATCTACAACACTACAACATTCCCCCTTTTTATCACCATGGCACCTGCCATTAAATAACTGAACATCAAATATGCTACAAAATTAACACATTCTTTATCAAAATACTATCTTCATTTGACATGGAATTTCAAAATTACTTTCTACATAATCAATATAACCAAAAATATCGTAAGCGAGGTTTTTTAGCACGCGTAAAATGGCTGCGAACATTTCATTTCTTCGCACTAGCAGTATTCGTTTTATACTTTGACATGACGGGTACGATTTAGTCAATGTCGTATTGTACCAGGAATCTGACACCGTGGATCTTATGTATAAATAGACAGAGCTGACACGCTGGTAATGGTTTATCCTAATGCCATGGATATTGATTAATTTTATCTCAATTAAACGATAATAAGCTTTGATAAGCAAATGACCAACAATAAAAAATCAAACAGGAGTATAAACATACGAGGGTGCATCAATATATTCGTAAACTAATTCAATAGCGGGGAAATGATTTAATTCAGATACCTAAAATGATTACTCTTCAAAGTAACGTCCCATGCACGATTTGCACTTGTCCCATCTCTCGACCCATGACTGGAACACGTGCTGTAGCCCGTCACGTGACATCTCTCACAGCTTTCTGTCCACGGCACGCCACAGTCCCTCCTTTGACTCAAATTTCGTACCACAAAGACTGTTTGGAAGTTGGAAACAGCCATAAGTCATGAATTGCTAGGTCCGGGCTGTAGGTTAGGTGCAGTAACAGTTCGACGTCGAATTTTTCTAGTGCATCCATGACAACGTGGCTTGAATGGCTCGGCGCGGTGGCGTGATGAAATATGATTCCGGACCTAAGTAGATGTTGGCTCTGTCTCCTTATTTCCGCCATGCGTTCTGTTCTAAGTAATGTTGCATAACAGTTCCAAGTGACTGTCGTTTTCGGATGAACAAAGTGTTTTAGCATTACACCGTATGTATCACAGAATATAATGGCCATAACCTTCAG